AAAAAATAAAAAAAAGTCTTTAAAGAAAAAAATTCTAGGCCTAATTCGATCTTTGTCATAATTTTTGTAACCGGAATTTTATAAATGCTTCTCTCTCTTTGGTTTCATGTATTTGTACTTCAATTTAAAGCCTGATATGTATTTTTCTGATATTGCATCTTTTTGATAGAACATCTTTTTTGGGCTTTACGGTCTTACTCTTAATTTGCATCAGTTATAAATTTTAGTTAGATTCTTGTTTGAGGTCGAATCTTTATCGGGTTATCTTGAAATCAGGGTCATTATTTTTTTTTTTTTTCATATTTTGAACCAGATCTTTTGCGATCGTAACTTAAGGGGAATCATGCACATGTTGTTCAGGCTAACCCATATATAATAATTAATAGCTTTGAAATTGGAGTGAATCTTAAAGCCTTTAAATAGCCAAGGTGACTTACTTCAAAGTCTGTCCGAAGTCAGTAGCTTTGAAATTGACTCTGATTTGCTGTTGAAACCTTTTCGGGTTTAATTTCATTCATTGTCAATGCATAACTACAATTTCAATAGCTACTAACTTTGTTGATCTAAATAAACAGTTGAGGTTGAAAATCTTTTCAGTTTAATCATCTTCTGTGTATAATTTTCGTGCTTGTGTTGTGTAGTTCGAATCAGATCCCTTCCCTCTTACTTTAACCGGAATCTTTCTCTTGTTGTTCATTCTATTTCATATTTAATACTTAACCATTTGATGAATAAAGTTGTCTTAAAGCCCTAAAAATCACCAAGCTTGCTAATTTCAAAAGGAAATTTTGTTCTGATCTTTCGGTTTTCCCAAATGTGTCAGAAGTTAGTAGCTTTAGAGTTGACTCTGATTTGGAGTTGAAACCTTTTCGGGTTTACTTGCAATCAGGGTCAATGCATAACCATGATTTGAATAGCTACTAACTTTGTTATTCTGAATAAATAGTTGAGGTTCGAAACCTTTTCGGGTTGATCATCTTCTGTTTATAATTTTTCATGTTCGTGTTGTGTAGTTTAAACCAGATCTCTTCCCTCTTACATTAACCGGAATCTTTTTCTTGTTGTTTATTCTCTTTCATATTTAATACTTAAACATTTGATGAATAAATTTGTCGTAAAGCCCTAATATTCACCAAGCTTGCTTATTTGAAAGTAAAGTTTTGTTCTGGCCTTTCAGTTTTTTCAAATGTGTCAGAAGTTAGTAGCTTTAAAGTTGACTCTGATTTGGAGTTGAAACTTTTTCGGGTTTACTTGCAATCAGGGGCAATGCTTAACCAAGATTTGAATAGCTACTTACTTTGTTAATCAAATAAACAGTTGAGGTTCGAAATCTTTTCGGGTTGATCATCTTCTGTTTGTCATTTTGCATGTTCGTGTTGTGTAGTTTGAGCCAGATCTTTTCACTCTTACTTTAACCGGAATCTTTCTCTTGCTGTTCATTCTAATTCTTATTTTATACTTAACTATTTAATGAATAAACTTAGTCATGAAGCCTTAAATTTAACCAAGCTTGCTTATTTGAAATTGAAATTTTTTCTGGCCTCTCGGTTCTCTCAAATGTGCCAGAAGTTAGTAGCTTTAAACTGACTCTGATTTGGAGTTGAAACTTTTTCGGGTTTACTTGCAATCAGGGGCAATGCTTAACCATGATTTGAATAGCTACTTACTTTGTTAATTAAATAAACAGATGAGGCTCGAAACCTTTTCGGGTTGAGTATCTTCCGATTATATCTTTCAATTTTGTGATGTGAAAATTTAATCAGATCTCTGCCCTCCTATTTAACCGGAATCTTTCACTTGTTTTTCGTTCTAATTCAAGTTTCATAATTAGCTATTCTTTTGAATGTTGTATAAATGTTTTGTGTTTGCTTAAATAATTGCGAATAGGAATTGGGAAAGGAACGTTCTTTTGCTGTTCAAATTAGCAAGTTGGTGATATCATTTGAATGAATAATTTAATTTTGGTGCTTGACTGGAAAGAAGCGTTACTGGAAATTTACCTGGTTAAACTTTTGGATGTCTCATTTTGAGGTAAATAAGCGAACACATTTGTTTCCAGTAGCCTTAATTGTTATGTGCATTTGTTACCTTTAGCGAGCCTTTCCTTGTTCCATACGTGGGACCAACTGTAGAGGCCTTCACGTGGCGGTCCTGTTGAAGTGTCTTACTTCTGTAAGACATGAGCTGACATCTACTTAATAAGTTTTTTTCATAGGTTTCTAATTTCCATCTGTCTTCATATTTTGCCTCAAAATATCCTCGGGGAGTTTGATTGGTTGTGGCTTTTGCAATCAACCGCAAATTTGAGCCCCAATAGAATTTAAATGGATTAAAAGTTGTTTGTTTCATTTATGCGCTCAAAAACAGGTCAAGAATTTTTACCTTAACGTACCTTAAAACACCTTAAAAAGTTAAGGTAAGTTTGCACTACCTTAAGTACACCTTAACTTACCTTAAAACACCTTAAAAATTTACCTTAAATCACCTTAAAAGTTAAGGTGTATCAACCTTAAAAAACACCTTAAAAAAGTTTTTTATAGGTAAATTTACCTTAAAAGTTTACCTTAAAAAAGTAGGTAATTTAACTACATTTACCTTAACATTAAGGTGTTTTTACCTTAAATTTTTACCTTAAAAACACAAAAGTTAAGGTAAAATAACCTCAAATGTTAAGGTAAAAAAACCTTAAAAGTGAAGAGAATTAAGGTTTTTTACCTTAACATTTAAGGTTATTTTACCTTAACTTTTGTGTTTTTAAGGTAAAAATTTAAGGTAAAAACACCTTAATGTTAAGGTAAATGTAGTTAAATTACCTACTTTTTTAAGGTACATTTTTAAGGTAAATTTACCTATAAAAAAAATTTTTAAGGTGTTTTTTAAGGTTGATACACCTTAACTTTTAAGGTGATTTAAGGTAAATTTTTAAGGTGTTTTAAGGTAAGTTAAGGTGTACTTAAGGTAGTGCAAATTTACCTTAATTGTTAAGGTGTTTTAAGGTATTTTTTAAGGTAAATTTACCTTAACTTTTTTTTGAGTGAACTGCAAAAGATAGTAGACACCACCCAGCAAAAACTACTGTTAAATAAGATTTTTCCGATTAACCTTCCAGTTTTGAAAGCCCTCTCCCAAAAAAAGTAACGATTGACTTAAAAATCTACTCACACAAGTCGAGAGGTATTGTCGCATTGACGAAAGTTTGTAGATGTAGGAAACTTTTGAGACTCTCACGTGGATTCTAGAAATTGTTTACTAAAAGTGCGCAAAAAAGCATCAATTTAGAATTGGAAATTGTTCCGTTTACTACTGGGCTTATAGGAACTGTCTAATTTATTGACACAAAGAGAATTATAAAAGAATAAAATAAAGGTTGATTAGTATCAGGAATCTTCACAAAATTTTGCCTTTGAATATAGCATCATTGAAGTAGTGGATTTTAAAAGAGCAAACTGGACAAACAATTTTTTGGTGTTGGTTTATTATCATTGCTGAACACCTGAAATTTGAGGTACTGTCTTTGGTAAGCAGAAGGTTGGGATTAAAAAAAAACCAATTTTTATTGCTATGAGGTGGCGATGTTTGTTTAAACAACGCAGCGAGCCCAAAAATTGTTGTTTTTATTGGCAAAAAAAACTTAATAATCGAGGTATTGTTCGAAGTTACTCTGGGTAGCCACTGCGAAATTTCCAACAGTAAATGTTGCACTAAAAACAAAATACATCAAAGTTAGATACATTTGAGCTTTTCAACAAAAATTGACGGAAGAAAGTTTATATATCTCGTATAGCGCTTGAAAATAACGGTAGTATTACTATATCAATTCGGAAATATAAACGGGTCTAGGACAACATGCCGACAGGACTTCAAGCCGAGAAGACTTCAGCGGAAATTTCAACTTTACAAGCACCTCAAAATGCTATCTGTGAAACTTTGTTTTTCAAAAATTTAGGCAAGTTTAGTCCATAAAAACCCGGGTGGACCTCCATAGACCAAAAAAAGCTAGTCATAAAATTCCAAAAACCAAGTCTATGAAAAAATGCTAGTCATACAAATTTCAGACATTTTGCTAAAAAGGTGTCATCGAATTTTCGAAGAACTTTTTCTTGTTTTGGCATAAATTTCGGTGTATCGTACTAAATAAAAAAGAAAAATTTTATTCAGAAAAAGCCAATCATACGATTTCCATATATGGAAATTGTATGACTAGCATTTTTTTATCTCAACTAAAATTTTGAAAGTTATTTTGAAATTGACATCAAAAATTTTTTGTGGTTTTTTTTCAACCGGAAATTGAATTTTTCAAAATATGCATGCAAAACTTAATTTTTTATTTGTATAACGTAATCCTGGGTACACTAATATTGGTCTTTTTCACCTAACAACTTTTTTCAAAAGCGATGAAAAATCCTCTTTTTTGTATGGCATGTTTATGTATGCCTTGATCATTGTCTGATAATTTAAAAACTCAAATTTCAAACATAATCATTGTTGAAAATTTTTGCCAAAATTTAAAAGTTTGATACTTTCGTTATACTCTTTTTATAAGACAGAGTTAAGACATTTCAGGCCGTTTCCATTGAAATTTTAATGCGGGACGGTCAAACTTTTGGTTAATCTACGTTTGAGTAATCATTATTTTTGTCACTTGCGTTTGTTTACGAACACAAGCAAAAAGTTATGAAAAATGAAAATGTAAAAAATAAATGATTATTTTTGGTTTATGGAAAAATGCCAGTCATACAATTTCCATATATGAAAAGTCTCTAGTCATAGACGTTTCATGCAATTTTCTGTACTTATGGAATTGCATGAAAAGTGTATGATTAGCATTTTTCATATATGAAAATTGTATGATTAGCATTTTTTGGCCAACACGGGAAGCGTTATTCATGACAATGCACCACTTGGGATTGGCATCCGTTAAAAAGTCAGCCAATTTTTCAGAAATTTTTCGAAAAAGTTTCCAAATTAACCATTATTCACTTAATAAGAAAATTGTCGAGTTGAATTCCCTAATTTTACATTTCGGCTTGAAATCCAGTCGGCTTGATGTCCGGCATCCGTCTAAACAACAATATTTGAGTCACTCTCAAGGTTTTCAGAATCTGAATCTTCAACGATAATAGAGTTACTGGAACTAATCAGCGGTTGATGACCGGGGTTTCTAAAAAGAGTTTTCTTCTTTGATAAAATAACGCCCGTTATTAGCCCCGTTACAGCACATGATACCGATATCACTAAACAGCTGACATAGAACCCAAACTTGTCCAGAATAACTCCACCTACTAAACACTGTCCTAAAACAACGCCAATACAGTTGCTGATTCCAAATATAATAATCGCATAAGCATCGAGTAAAACTAAAGGAATGTTATGATTTTTCCTAGTAAACAGTTTTCTCAACAACGGAATACTCGAGTTTATAATGCAAAGGACGCTTAAAGCAGCGAACGCCAGAAGAATTTCCAGAGTAACCAAACTAGTTAAACGAGGAAGAATCCACTTCAGTTGAGACATCGCTAGAAACGTGATTGCCCCAAGCATACTTCCCATAAAACAGAAAACTATTCCTGTATAACCTTTGTCTATAAATGCTCCAATCAAGTTTGACAAAATTGCACAAGTGATAGCGAACGGCAGAAAAAAGTTGCCTGGTTTGATAATCTGGTATGTCTGAGTAAGATGAGCTGCAAACGCTACGTCTATGAACCCGAGAACAGACGCCACCGGCATAATAGCGAAACAAGTTGACAGAACGCCTGGGTCTGCGAGTAAGTCGCGCACCGTTTTCAAACTAGGCTGATGATGATTGGCGTTTTCATGTTGTGGACCATCTGCACCTCCGGGAATTCCAACATAGCATATTGAGCAAATTAAAAGATGAAGACTGGACACGATCCAGAAGGGAAAAGCAAATCCTCCGACGGAATACAAGAAGCCACCAAGAGGCGCCCCGATGATTCCACCAACGTTGAGTCCCAAAGTTATGAGACTGCATACTTTTCCGGTGTCTCGTGGGAATAAAGAAATGAGAAGGGGCGCGGCGCTTGCCCACGTGATTATATATCCACAGCCTAGACATCCCCTGACGATGGTAAAAGCTGCTATGAAAGTTTTCCCCTCATACGCTCTGCAACAAACAGAAATCAGACATGGGATTCGAGGGAATCGAGGGATTCGATCCCCTGCCGACCCAAAAGGTCCCTCCTCCCTTTGGTACTTTTTAAGAAAATCTAATTTGGCCGAACGACCCTCGAATTTTCTAAAGGCGCCTTCCACGCCAATATATATACTAATTTTGAGAGGGGAGCGCGCCGAAAAAAACCCAATTTTTTGGTCAAAATTTTAAAAAAAGTGCCTAAAAACGCCTTTTTTGGACTGTTTTTGCCTGCGGCGCAGAAAATTTGGCCAAAACAGGGACTAAACCATGCTTAGGGAGAGCTCAAAAATTCAATTCGGTCGACCTAAAAAAAGGTCGACAAAATTGTCGAAAATTTTTTGAAAATCCGCCCTCCTCGAGAAAATCTTAGATCCGCCCCTGTCCCCTCTGATACCATTTAAAGACCTCCATTATCGGCTAACTGGTCCCAGTTTTTTTTCTATGGCGCCAATACATATTAATTTTGAGTGGGTGAGCGCTTCGAAAAAACGCGATTTTTTTTGGCCAAAACTTTCCAAAACGCGATTTGGGTTTGATTTTTTTCATAAAATGATTGCGGTTCCTTTGACGCCAATACATATTAATTTTGAGGTGGTGGACGCTCCAGAAAACGCGATTTTTTTGCCAAAACTTTCCAAAACGCGTTTTTTGGTTTGATTTTTTCAAAAATTGATTGCGGTTCCTTATAGTGATTTGTAGATCTGGTGAAATCAGTTTCGTTGACCTAAAAAAAAGGTCAACAAAATTTTCAAAAAAACTGTTGAAAATCCGCGCACTCCAATCCGTTTTTTTTCTGGAGTAAAACTTAGATCGGGCCCTTTTTTGTTTTTGTCTGGACTGGTAAGGTAACTGGTAAGGTAATTACCAAGAAGGAGAACGACGTGGCAAAAGTATTACAGTACTGCAAGTCTAAGGGGACCAAGTTTGCCCCAAAATGCTTGCGATTGTTTTTTTCCAGGTTTTTCATTTATTTTAGGCCCATTTTGGCTGATCAGTGGCTGCCGGAGGCACCTCTGTTTGTATTTTTTAGAGATTGAAATCAATTGGGTGTTGCACTGGGGGGGGGGGATACTTTTTCATGAAAAGTGTTCCTAACCTTTGAACTTTTGAGGTTACGAAAAGTGTTCCTAACCTAATTTGAACTTTTGAGTTTTGCCGAAAAATACCAAAGGAAAATTGCCGTGGCTTATACCTCAGAAACATGCAGTTCAGTGAAGAGTTGAAGAGTGCTGATACCGAGTTGCTACCTCAAATTGGTCCAACACCCAGAATGATACCAATTTTTTTTTGGTAGAATATCGCACAAATTGTCTATTTATCGTTCGGGAAAATGCTCGAAATATTTTTCAAATGCTCCCCCCCCCCTCCCGCTCGAGAAATTCCTACATTCGCTATGCCCCACACTATCATTTTCTTGATTTTTCAAAAAAATTTTCAGGCTAGTAAGGTAATTATCAAGCAACGGGATGGAATTAGCAAGACTATTACAGGGATGGAAATCCCAGCGGACCAAGTTTTTTAACGCTTGCGATTGTTTAGCGAGTAATTGTGGGCTGTCTAATTAATTTGGGGGCATCTTTGAAGTTGTTTTCTTTTCAATTCTAGTTTTTGTGTTCATTTTTTTTTCAAGTCCCTTTGGCTGACTAGTTGATGCCGGAGGTAAATCTCATTAATCGTTTCAAATGTTGAATACAACTGCGGCAGGGACTGCGGCAGGGACTGCGGCAGGGACAAGTGCTTGATTATTGTAGATATTTCGGGATTAGGGAAATTTGATCTTTTTTTGAAATCTATACGGTTTGTACCAAAAACTGTCAAAGTTTTGGCAAAAATTGTCAAACGACAATTCTGACTTATTCCTCAGAAACCAATGGGTTTAAAATTTTGGTGGTAGACTTGTTTTATTTTTGAGGTTTTTTGCCGAGCAATGAAGTTTATTTTTTCTAAGCTTTGTTTTCTTTTGTATATGTCCGTAATTGGCCAGGTTCTGATTTGCTAGCCCTTTAAACTTTTCTTTTCATGAACTAGTAAGGATCTAAAATCGAAACCTAGCGGCAACGTGATGATTCCAAACGGACTCACCAAGGGAGGCCTAGAAAACTCTACTGGCGTTGAATCCAAAATTATAAGACTGCACCTTTGTCCGGTGTTTGATGGAAATGAAAAGAGGTGCGGTGCCTGCCCACATGATTATATATCCTTAACCTAGACTCTCTCTGACGATGGTAAAAACTGCTATTAACATTGTTTCCTCAAAAGTTCTTACACCTTGCTGCCTTGAAAAATGCAACTTGTCTAGCTAAATATTAAGTTAGCTTTGTTTTCCGCGCAATGATGCTCAATTTTGCTTTAAATTTTCTTATAGGTGACCAGAAAACATTTTGAACTATGTTTTAAATGAGAACATTTCGGTGATTTTACAGTGACATGTTTGAAAGTCTCAAAAAAAGGAATCTGATGTTTCTAAATCTTCTGCTTCCTTCTAATGGAAGAAAAAACATTGCCAAATTTTTGAGTCTCTGTACCTCCAACAAAATCATCCACGCAGATCGATGCTCAATTTAACTAATTTTTAAAATTATGAGCTGTTTTTCTACTGACACTGATAACAAGACTTGTATAGCGTATAGCATCTGAAGTTCTCCAATAGAGCCTTTTCAGTGTCCACTAGCAGGAGGGTTTTGCTCAATCCTCCGTAGAGGTTTGCTTAGGTTGCAGAAAATTTAATTCAGGATTGTTTGGTTTTGGTTCTATTCAACCGTTGGCAGTTTTCATAGTTTCCTACGCGTCCGGATTGAATATTTGAAAATCAAAATTTGAAAAAATCAATTTTTACTGATTTTTCGAGTGCCGCGATTGACCGAAAATTCGTTGGTGATTAGATACAATTATGCAAGAATATAATATTGGTCGCGCCGTCTCCGCCTTGGTCTGAAAACTCGCGCCTTCTCCGCCTTGGTCTGAAAGGTCGCGCTGTCTCCGCCTCGGTCTGAAAATTGCGCCGTCTCCGCCTCGGTCTGAAAATTGCGCCGTCTCCGCCTCGGTCTGAAAATTGCGCCGTCTCCGCTTTAGTCTGAAAAGTGGCGCCGTCTCCGCTTTAGTCTGAAAAGTCGCGTCATCTCCGCCTTGGTCTGGAAAATCGCTTCGTCTCTGCCTTGGCCCGCGAAAAATTGATTATTGGTCGTGCCTTCTCCGCCTTGGTCTGAAAAGTCGCACCGTCTCCGCCTTGTTCTGGAAAGTCGCGCCGTCTCAACCTTGGTCCGCGAGGAATTGATTTTTGGTCGCGCCGTCTCTGCTGTGGTCTGAAAAGTCGTGGCGTCTCCGCCTTGGTCTGAAAAGTTGCGCCATCTCCGCCTTAGTCTGAAAAGCCGCGTCGTCTCCGCTTTGGTCTGAAAAATCGCGCCGTCTCCGCCTTGGTCTGGAGAGTCGCACCGTCTCCGCCTTGGTGTGATAAGTCGCGCCGTCTAAGCCTTGGTCAGGAGAGTCGCACCGTCTCCGCCTCTGTCTGGAAAGTCGCGCCGTCACTGCCGTGGTCTGGAAAGTCGCGCCGTCTCCTCTTCGGTCTGAAAAGTTGCGCCATCTCTGCCTTAATCTGAAAAGCCGCGTCGTCTCCGCCTTGGTCTGGAAAGTCGCGTCGTCTCCGCCTTGGCCCGCGAAGAATTGATTTTTGGTCGCGCCGTCTCCGCGATGGTCTGGAGAGTCGCACCGTCTCCGCCTTGGTGTGATAAGTCGCGCCGTCTAAGCCTTGGTCAGGAGAGTCGCACCGTCTCCGCCTCTGTCTGGAAAGTCGCGCCGTCACTGCCGTGGTCTGGAAAGTCGCGCCGTCTCCTCTTCGGTCTGAAAAGTTGCGCCATCTCTGCCTTAATCTGAAAAGCCGCGTCGTCTTCGCCTTGGTCTGGAGAGTCGCACCGTCTCCGCATTGGTTTGAAAAGTCGCGCCGTCTAAACTTTGGTCAGGAGAGTCGCACCGTCTCCGCCTTGGTCTGGAAAGTCGCGCCGTCACTGCCGTGGTCTGGAAAGTCGCGCCGTCTCCTCTTCGGTCTGAAAAGTTGCGCCATCTCTGTCTTAGTCTGAAAAGTGAAGCCGTCTCCGCTTTAGTCTGAAAAGTCGCGTCGCCTCCGCCTTGGTCTGGAAAATCGCTTCATCTCTGCCTTGGCCCGCGAAAAATTGATTTTTGGTCGTGCCTTTTCCGCCTTGGTCTGAAAAGTAGCGCCGTCTCCGCCTTGGTCTGGAAAGTTGCGTCGTCTCCGTCTTGGTCTGGAAAGGGCTTGCCGTCTCCTCCGTGGTCTGGAAAGTCGTGCCGTCTCCATCTTTGTCTGGAAAGTCGCGTAGTCTCCGCTTTGTTCTGGAAAGTCGCGCCGTCTCAACCTTGGTCCGCGAGGAATTGATTTTTGGTCGCGCCGTCTCTGCTGTGGTCTGAAAAGTCGTGCCGTCTCCACCTTTGTCTGGAAAGTCGCGTAGTCTCCGCCTTGGTCTGGAAAGTCGAGTCGTCTCCGCCTTGGTCTGCGAGGAAATAATTTTTGGTCGCGCCCTCTCCGCAATGGTCTAAAATGTCGCGCAGTCTCCGCCCTGATCTGGAAAGTCGCTCCGTCACTGACGTTGTCTGGAAAGTCGCGCCGTTTCCTCTTCGGTCTGAAAAGTTGCGCCATCTCCGCCTTAGTCTGAAAAGCCGCGTCGTCTCCGCCTTGGTCTGGAAAGTCTCGTCGTCTCCGCCTTGGCCCGCGAAGAATTGATTTTTGGTCGTGCCGTCTCCGCGATGGTCTGAAAAATCGCGCCGTCTCCGCCTTGGTCTGGAGAGTCGCCCCGTATCGTCCTTGGTGTGAAAAGTCGCGCCGTGTAAGCCTTGGTCAGGAGAGTCGCGCCGTCACTGCCGTGGTCTGGAAAGTCGCGCCGTCTCCTCTTTGGTCTGAAAAATTGCGCCATCTCCGCCTTAGTCTGAAAAGCCGCGTCGTCTCCGCCTTGGTCTGGAAA